CCCCCCCCCCCCCCATTTGCACTCGAAGAGACTGTTTTTAGCCCTCTTTTAGGTCAAAATTTCCGAAAATTCGGCAATTTTCCGTGAAGATGGGGGGCGGCCGCCCCCCGCCCCACCAATATTTCCGCCACTGAGGAGTAATGATTGTAAACTCTATGTAACTAAACCTATGATTTTATGAAGAAATCCTTTTTCCCATCGGGGAACTTCAGCATAGAACAACCTGCCAGAAGATGTTATTAATGGATATTGTAATTACTTGATTTAGTAATTACTTTAATGAAAGTGACAACATTTATGTGGCAGATTGTTCTTAAATAAAGGTTGTGGCTTGTGAAGGTTATATATCTGTTTATTATATTAGCCTAGTTTTAATATGTGTTTAACATATTTATATTAGTAGAAGTAGACAAACGGCCCCTTAAAAACAGCATTTACGCTGAAGGGTCACCGATTTTAAATAAAGTGTAATGTAATAGAAAAATACCTCAGTAAATGTGTCGGCGTTTCCAAAGTAATTCTCAGAAATAGGTTCGTGGTGTGGGAGGTTATTTGTCGTTTCTTTCTGCACAACACTGCCAAACGAAGAAGGAGGTATGAAAATATCATTATCCAACAGCTGGGAGGATACAACATATGTGTTACAGTAATCCGATGGACCCTCTGATCGTGGAAATGTACAGAATTCATTGTGTCCATCTTCTTCGGTATTTTCGATCACTGGGTTAAAATGATAGTCGTTGTATTCGGGCGCCTCGACAATATCATCGTTAGGAAATTGGGGAATCTGTATGGGGTGATTTTCATCTTCTTCGACATGCAAGCCACATTCAGCCGTCTCTTTAAAATTCTGAGTTAGGAAAAGCATATTTGTATGTTAGTCAGCATAAAATACAATTTCTGAAATAATTCTTTTACGTCTCCATTCCTTTACTTGCATGTCTTATTGTTATACATTTTCCCGTATTTTCATCTGCTCAAAATTTCTACTCCGTATTCTATTCAATATTTTTATAATCTTTATATTGCTAATCTTTATATTGCTCAACTTTTAACACTTACTTAGGTAGCCTTTGTGTGGTTTTCTTATTTGTGTTCTTATTGCAGTGTTCTTCTTATTTGCTTTTCTGTTTTCCTTGTCAGTACTATCCAGAGGCGTACCCAAGGGGGGAATGGGGGATCAGAAGCCTTCCACTTTTCTTCAGGACCAATTTTGTAATTCTTTTGAAACTGAGGAGAAGCTGGGGGGGGGGGGGTAATATCTTAATGTTTTCCGCATCTATGACCAGTGGCGTAACAGAGGAAGAAGCTAGGGGCCCGTAGGCATATTTGGTGTGGGGGGCCCTGTTGTCATTGTTTGACTGAGATATTATATTTATATTGAATATTTATAGAATGTTCCATGTCCATAACGAAAACACTAACAGTCTCCAACACATCTAACAACTAATAAGAATAACGTTTGTTTTATTTGAGATGGGATAAAAATATCAGCTATAGCGTTGTCGATGGAGGCTTTATTATTTAGCATTATTAATTTTGCATTTTCCCATTGATTCTTAACCTGCATTTTTTACGTTTTCTAATTTTCTGGGCGATAGGCCGTGGCTGATGGGGCCCCTAACTGTCGGGGGCCCTTAGTTTTTGAACTAACCCTACCTAATGAGCGTTACGTCACTGTCTATGACATGTATCAAATGTTAAGAATAATAAGTCCCGCCAAATTCTATAACGCTAAATATGATTGGTTAAAGATTAATGAGTTCTCTCCTCTGATGTGGACATTCGGTCGGACATGTTTTTTAGAAAATCAATTCATATTATTAAAGTTATGTTTATATTCAAATAAATAGTTATACAATCGAAAGTGAGCGAATATTTCAATAGGTTATGGGCCCAGGACGTGTGGAATTGAATTAAAACGTGTTTATTTGTCCTGTTTGGCGGAAATTTTTGGTGAAAATACTTCGAGTCTAATATGGCGGAAATTACGAAGATCGATAAGCTAAATGGCAAGAATTATCAGTCTTGGAAATACAATGTTAAGCTAGTTCTTATGGAACGTGGCCTTTGGGGCTTTACACAAGAAGGCAAAGAAATACCTCCTGACGAAAATGCGACAAATGCTGTAAAGAATGCGTTCCAGTTGCGATCAGATAAAGCCTACTCTCTGATTGCCTTAAACGTCGAGAAACACTTGCAAATACACATTTCGAGTACGACAGATCCTTTAGCAGCATGGACGAACTTGCAAAAACAATTTGAGTTTGTATCTGTTACCCAAGTCGTGCGTTTGAATCGTATATTCTATGCAGCCACCATGGAAGAAGGTGGAGATCTTATGAAACACCTGACCTATATGACATCATTGGCAGAACAACTGCATGAAATGGAAGAAGATATATCATCAAAGAAATTCGCTACTGTGGTGCTAGCAGTTTACCCGAATCGTATGATAATCTCCTCACAAGTTTTAATGCGAGCAAAGCTGAAGAGTTGGAATGGGACAATATAAAGGGATTGTTAATAGAAGAGTATTTGAAGAGAAAAGAAATGTTTGAGAATAACAAGAGTGGCAATGCATTGCTTACAAACAGGAAGTCATACATGAGCAGAGGAAGAAATTATGATCGAAGAAGACATGGTGAACATTCTAGAAATTGGACTCCTGTAGACTACAAGCCATCATGGAACACCAATAAAGGTGGGGATACATTGACACCAGTAGCACAACAACAATGTGATGACGGAAGAGCAAGAAATGTTTTATGCTTTAAGTGTAACAAAGCTGGACACATCGCCAGGAACTGTCCACTCAACAATAGAAAAGGTGGAAACAAAGGGGAACATTCGAAGCTTGCGGAAGGTGGTGGAGTAGCACTGATTTCAAGCACAGGAAATTCAAATGAATGGTATGTGGATTCAGCTGCGACAAAGCATATGACAAATCGCAAGGACCTTATCATCAACTACACTCAATACCAAACACCGGTGAATATTTATTTGGGTGACAATACCTGTATCAAAGCCCTGGGTGAAGGAATGGTTAAGCTATATACTCAAAATGACAATACATTCTATTTGGAGTTACACAAAGTATTGTATGTGCCGATGTTAGCAAAAAACCTATTGTCTGTGCCTGCAATGACTTCAATGGGAGCTAAAGTGTCATTCGATGACGAAAAATGTGTGGTTTCCAAAGAAGAAAAAGAATACGTGATTGGTAAATTGGTAGATGGTATGCTGTATACTGTTAATCCAGTTGAATTTGCCCATCCTACAACTGAACCCTTGGATATGTGGCACCAGAGATTTGGTCATCTAAACAATGGATATGTTAATCAACTGATGAAGAATGATATGGTCACCGGAATGATGTATGATGAAAGTAAACAAGTGGAGAAAGATTGCAAAGGATGTTCAATGGGAAAGATGCATAAGAATCCCTTTCCAAAAGCAAGTCTACATAGGGCAAGCAGACCTTATGAAATCATACATACTGACATATGTGGACCAATGCAAGTTGAGTCGATTGGCGGTAGCCGTTATTTGGTCACATTTACTGATGACTATTCCAGATATGCTGTTGCTTACTTTATTAAGAAGAAAGATGAAGCACTTACTAAGTTCAAGGAGTTTGTGAATTATGTTAAAAATCAAGATGGAAATCATAATAAAGTGAAGATTCTGCGCAGCGACAATGGCGGTGAGTACAAATCGAACAGTTTCTCCAAATTCTGTACTGAGAAGGGCATTGTCCAACAATTCACTTGTCCTTACACCCCTGAACAAAACGGTGTGGCAGAAAGATTAAACCGTACGATTTTAGAATCTGCAAGATCCATGATATATCATGCAAATTTGCCCCTAGTCTTCTGGGCTGAAGCGTGCAATACAGCCGTGTACCTACATAACCGAAGTCCTACAGTTGCATTAAAGGACAAAACCCCTTATGAATGCCTTTTCGGTGAAAAACCAGATGTTTCTAATCTTAAAGTCTTTGGATGTATGTGCTATGTTCATATCCCGGACAGTAATCGTAGAAAATTAGACCAAAAGTCTTATGACGCTATATTTGTTGGCTATCCTATATAGCTTTTTATAATAAAATCCTAAAAAATTCTTTCAATTCCTAGAAAATATAGTTTTTTAAAGAATTCAAACTATTTCCTGAATTAAATACGAATTTAATACGATACAAAAGCTAATATTTATGTATTATTCCACTAAACAATGAAATTGCAGGTTTTGCTTGCGCTGTGTGTCCACGGTATGTGTGCCAGCGGAGACACAGTAGACACTGCAGTGTCGTATAGACAGTTCTGGTTTATGAACAGTAAATAGTAGACTAAAATAAGCATTTATATTACTTTAATTTGTTGTTTTACTTGTTTTAATAAGATTATATATAAGCTTACTATGTTTTGGTATTAATTAAAATTGAAAAATGTGGTCATTGTTTTCATTGCATTTATCGCGATATTATCTAATATTGTGATAATTTCCTTGACAATAATTGTGAGATGATTTTTTTAATATCGGCTAACCCTAATGTGGAGAGTGGAGCGTCTGGTTAAATTGTTATTTCTCTGCGAAGAATTGTTATTTCTCTGTCCACATCTCGCCTCCTTCTCAATGCATTTTCTTCGTCATTATTTCACAGAACTTCATGAAATCACACCTGCATGTGTTAAGAATAATAAGTTCCTGGCAAATTCTATAACGCTAAATATGATTGGTTAAAGATTAATGAGATTCTCTCCTCTGATGTGTACATTCGGTCGGACATGTTTTTTAGAAAATCAATTCATATTATTAAAGTTATGTTTATCTTCAAATAAATAGTTATACAATCGAAAGTGAGCGAATATTTCAATAGGTTATAAGATCCATGATATATCATGCAAATTTGCCCCTAGTCTTCTGGGCTGAAGCGTGCAATACAGCCGTGTACCTACATAACCGAAGTCCTACAGTTGCATTAAAGGACAAAACCCCTTATGAATGCCTTTTCGGTGAAAAACCAGATGTTTCTAATCTTAAAGTCTTTGGATGTATGTGCTATGTTCATATCCCGGACAGTAATCGTAGAAAATTAGACCAAAAGTCTTATGACGCTATATTTGTTGGCTATCCTA